CGAGGTAGAAGCAAGCTCCCAACTAGCTACCGTTATTTCATTCGATCAATTTCAATCTCTTATAGAACCATGAAGTTGTGTGATTTGTGAATCCCCTCCAATGCCATTGTGCCTTCTTTCATTGTAGGTCTTTCTTTCCCATTTAACCTCAAGTAGCTCAAACCAAGCTAGCAACCATAAAAACATCTTCTCTTTTGCCTTGTTTCACAACTTTGGGATCAAGAACATCAAACAAATAGTTGCTCGCCATGGTCGTTGGGAAATATGTAACAAAACTTGTTGCTTATTCTTATGATCTTGTGAAAGAGACTGGCTTTTTTCTAGCAAGTAGCTCAACAAGGACTACATCAAAGCTATACACATCACTCTTATATGTGAATTGGCTTGATTGGAAGTACTTTGGATCCAAGTATCCAAAGGTGCCTTGCACTCGAGTTGTGACATAGGTTTGCTCAATTGTTACCGATCTTAAAGTTCCAAAATCTCGCTACTTTACCTCTATACTTCTCATAAAGCAATATGTTTGTAGACTTGATATCTCTATGGTAAATGGGAATTGAAGGTGCTAAATGCGAGTAGAAGAGTGCCCTTGCTAGTTTCTTGAATCTCGAAAGAAGAGAGCAATCAAGGGTCGAGAGAGACCCTACCTAACTAACATTGATAAGGCAACGATCTAGAAATTGCTAAATCCTAGAGAGACCATGATGGTCATTGCATATAAAAAAGAGTCGTCCGAGAACCCAACATCAAGCAAACCATTTCCTTGAATAAAATCATTAAAATCCAAATGTTCGAGAGACCATGATGGTTCCCTCCTCGCCTTTTTGAAATCTTAATGATGATATTAAAATCACCCCTACCAGCCAAAGAGAAGGAGTAGTCAACGACAAAACGGAATTCCATAAAGAGATATGTGCCGCTCTGTCACATGTAGCATAGATCGTAGAAATTCGAAGTTGGATATTCTATGATAGAAAGCCGATATCCACGACGATGACTTGACAAAACATACTAAAAAAAGAGACAAAAGTGAGTTCTTCTAGAGAAACCAAATATGAGAGTTTGTTGGATTACCATGTAGGTGATACTCAAAGTTAAGAAATCTCGCAAGGGACTCTAGTTCATTACCATGCAGTTTTGGTTCAAGAATGACCAAAAGGGAGACTTTGTGTTGTCGAACCAAACTCTTAAGAAATCTCCTTTTATCTAGGGCACCAATGCCTCTAGCATTCTAGATGAGACTGAAAATTATTGTAAGCAAAGGAAAGAGTCACATGATCTAAAGAAGACCTAGTGTTCCTTTTAGAACTAGGCACCCCCGATTTAGCTTTTTTCTTTTTCTTAGTGGCGAGGAGGTAGAGTAGTTACGCCGGTAACGGAAGATGACACTAAGGAGGGCCTAGTGAGGCTCGAAAGAAACAACATTGGACAACGCACGGGCAAAGGATAAATGGGGTAGGGTGGGCAATGAGGTGGGGAGGGGGAAGTCCGAGGAGGAGGCTGCCGGAGTTGGCGGCAGGAGGAAACCCCCATTGGGCGACAGGAAGCCAACCCTAGTATTTCCTTTATTTTAATTGCTCAATATTCCATCAATTCATTAATGCTTAATTAATCATATAATAACACGTGTCAAGTCAAAGATAAAAACATAATTTCCATTGGAAAATCAATTTTTAAAAATTAAAAATAATTTAAAGTAATCAATTATTATTTAAAAATAAAAAATGAAAAAATTCCTAACTAATAGTGATTTGTATATAATTGAGCTCACCCAAATAACACCCAAATAACAAAGGTCCTAATTATTCACTCTCATCTAAATAGCTCACTCAATCAACATAGAATTAGGCATACATTAGCCTATCCCTCGAAGGAAGTTCATCAACAAATCATAACCCATTTGTTCTTTTAAATTATTTTTAATTTTTAAAAATTGATTTTTCATTGAAAACTATGTTTAATTTTTAGCATCGGCTTGAGACTTGTTATTATATAATTGATAAAATATTAGTTAACTAACGGAATAAGATCAATTTGATAGAATAGGTTAAACAAAATTGGATAAAAAAAACTGATTTGTTCTAATTTTAAGTAATACATGTTTTTTTCTACACAATAGCATAATAGAAAAAGTTAAAATAACTAAAATTAGATAGTATAAATTTATTGAGTGATTTTTGCTCATTTCTTTTACATTACAAACAACTAGTACTTCATTAAAAATATTCTATCCATGTTTTATCTATAAAATGGTTATTTATCTCTTATTATTTTGTTATTGGTGTAATAACCCAAAATTTACCTCTTTTTGTTTTTTATTTTTTATTTTTATTTTACTTTATTTATTGTTATTATTTTTTTATTTTATTAATTTTTATTTAATTTGAAGTTTACTAAAGAAAAAGAAAGAAAATGATGAAAAATACAAAAAAAAAATTCATTTAGGGACACAATTGAAGTAATTAGGGATGTAATCGAGTCAATTAAAAAATTTAGACCTTAAATTGCACCCCCGGGGACCTAATTGAGGATATTGTACTGAAATTATACCATAAGAGGGCTTAATTGCTAAAATTGAAATGCATAAAGACCAAATTGAAATGCATAAGGAATAAATTGGAATGTTGGAGCGGACGACGGAGCTCGAAATGTGGAGGACGACTTGTCGTCCACTCCAAACCCGCATTCTCTCCAAAAATCTTTGGAGAAATCTCCCAAATCCTTCACAAATTTTCTGTTTTGATTTTACATTTATCATTGAATTAATTTTGGATAGAGAATCAAGTAGTCACTAATTCCTTTTCTTGTTGATTAGCAAATCGAATCAAATTTGAGATTTTTGAAAAAATTTTTGAGGATTTTGTGTTTGATTCTAGGAGAAAATCAAGCAAGCTTTTGGCTATAAAAAGGAGTCTCGGTTTCAAGAAAAAGGGGAGAGGAAAAAATTAGAGAAGAATTCTAGGTAGAGAGGTTGAAGATAGAAAGCAAAAGGCTAAATCTTCGATCTTTTAAAAGTCGGGTTTTCTATGTTTTTTGGGTTGATTGTTCTAGGTGTTCTTCATCTCTAGGGGTTCAATTTCATTTTCGAGTCTATTGTTTGATCTTCCCGAGGTTTGATTTTCAATTACCATCAATCACTTAACTTTAGTCCGCGGTTGGAGGTTTTAATCGGCATCTTTTCGAGTCTCTCTCCACTAAGTTTTACGGGTAGTGTTTGAACGTTCTCGGTGTTCCGGGTTTGAGTTTGGAAGTTCATCACACTCGCTAAACTCTAGTCCTCCAATCTTGCACTCGTCCGAGCATCCAAAATCCACTCTACGGTTCCTTAAGTTCATCCAAACCATCCCGAAGATTGGTTTTCGCCCAAGCTTTCTTGGAATAATAATCATCAATTTAAGTGTACTAGGTCGGCATGCATTTTTCTTTGTTTTCGGTTGTAATCCTATTAATCTTCGTCTCAAATGATAGTTAATTGTTTGTTGATGCTTGAGATTTGTCATTTGATTGAAATGAGAACTTAAACATGATATGTTGTCTCTCTTAAGCGAAGTTTTATTTTTGAGAAAAAGACCGGAAAATAGAGAGGAAATTAAGAACATGAAGAATAGGAGAGAGAAAGAATAAAAAATTAAAAAAAACGTGTTTGATCGAAACATGAAGAGAACGGGCTCGTCTTTTGGTTTGTAGCCCAAGCAAAGTAAAAAACAAGGGTTGGACCGATTTAGGCCCATTCCGATCCGATCCGTAACTTTTTTTTTAAAAAGAAACAACACGAAGCTGGACTTTTATCGATCCGGCCGTGCGCTTGAACCCCCCAAAAAAAAAAAAGGAGGTCCAGCCCGTGGCCCACCTTTCAAAACCCAAAAAAAAAAGGGATAATAAAGAAATAAAAATAGAATTAGGGAAGAAAAAAATAGGTAAAAGAAAAAAAAAGGGGGATAGGTAAAAAAATAAAAGAGTAAAAGTTGTGGGTTAATGGTTTAGGTATAAAATGATTTTTTTATTTTATTTTTTCTTCTATTATTCATTTATTTTTTTTAGCTTGTTTATTTTTATTCCTTGTCATTTTTTTATTAATGTAAAATTGTTATTTCAATTTTTTTCTTTAATATGTATTGCTAGAAAAATTAAAAAAAAAATCTTGACAAAGTCTCCTATCTAATAGGGACCGATGTCATAAAAAAAATGCCTAAAATTTTTTTGGCAAACCCTCCTACTTGGTAGGGATTGACACCAAAAAAAAAACATATAATAAATAAATTCGGTGAAATCTCTTATCTAATAGGGACCGATGTCATCAAATTCAAAATTTTCGATGAAGCCTCCTATTTGATAGGGTCGATGTCACCAAAAAATCACCTTTTAATTAAGACGTCCTCCGACAAATCGGTTGTGTTAAGGCTTTTAGTGGATCTAATATTTGAATCGACGTGTCATCCGACGAAGGGGACCGATGATCGTTTGAATATGATGTCACGCTTAAAACTAAAAAATTCATTTAGTCTTAAAAATAGGAGGTGAAAAATTAAAAAATAGCTTGACATGGATTTTTAGGAGATGACTTTAGAACTAAACTATACATGATACCTTTTTTCAAAAAAGGCACTTTTAGGTGATTAAATATCTTCCTAAAAGTGTAACCAACTCCTTACCTTAGAATCTCTCGAACCAATGCTACTCTTAGGTTCCTAGTTCCTTAAATACTAGGTGGCGACTCTAAAACTACGTAAATAATTTTATAAATAATTAACGCTCGGACCTTAATTTTTATGGAGAGTCCCGTCCGACATCGTGTAACGACAATTGGATTATCTTGTATTTTTTTATTTTAATTATGTATGCCTCGGCATTTAAATAAAAAAAAATTATGATCACCATTATTTAAGAAACAAAAGGACGAGGGGTTGGGACTTGATTTTGAAAAGGGGAAAAGGAGATCATAAAGACATTTAAAAGGCAACATGTGAGGAGGGACGAGGTATAATCTCATCTCCATTTGAATGGTTGTGCTCAATTTCTCCTTGAACAAAGAAGATGAAGGGTGGGGACTTGATTTTTTTTTTTTTCATTGAGAAATGAAAGCATTAATTTATATTATTGTTAGAAAATATATCTCATACTAAATAGTTAAATAAAAAATAATTAATATATAAAATTGAGATTGAAGATATCATTCATTATAAGGCTTAAGTATTTTGGATGGAACTCAATATTAACTATTCAAACTCTATATGGTATCGAGTCTCGAAAAGACATAACGGCTCAGACAAAGGTTCCAAAACTCAATTCACTTGATGGATCCTAAAAGATGGGTCAGTAGATGAGGAAGAGTGTGTTAGAAAACATACCCACATTAAATAGCTAAACAAAAAATGATTAATATATAAAATTGAGAAGAAGCCACCTATATAAGACTTAAGCTTTTTTGGATGAAACTCATTCTCAATTATTAAAAATCTATATTGTATCAAAGCTTTAAAAAAACCTAATGGCTCATTAAAGATTCTGGAAGCCAAACCACTTGTTGACTCAAAAGATGAGCTACAAGTGAGGGAGAGTGTTAAATAACATATCTTAAATAGAATAATTAAGCAAAGCAAAAGATGAGTGACATATAAAGTTAAGAATGAGCCACTCACGATAAAGACTTAAATCTTTTAGATGAAACCTACAGATATACAAAAATATTTTACTAAAAAACCTATGGATATACAAAACAATTTGCTAAACCTATGTATGCAATTGTGTTCAGAATCTTTATTTACATTGTCAATTTCTCTTAAAAACAAAGAAGAATTTGACCCTTTTCCTATTTTATTAATTTGGATTGGTCTAGTGGTGAGTGGTGAAAAACATGGTTGGACAACCACTCAAAATTACAGAATGACGGAGCACCTACAAAGAAATTAGTACCTACAAAGAAATTATCGTACGTACAACTTTTCAAACTTATTTTTAGAGCCAACCAAGAATTATCCAGATTTTTCCATGAGTTAATCAGTCCTTCTTTGCTTGTCCTCATCTTCAATCCAAAGTTTTCCCCGAAAAAAATTAAAAAAAAGCTTAATTGAGACTAAGAATTTAAGTGATGTTTGGAGTTGGGTCTTTCAGAAGTTCATTTGCTTTCTCCTCCTAAAGATCAGTACGTATGTATGTTATTTTTTGTCTTCTTCATCAAACTGGCACCACGATTATATAGCAAGAGTTGAAGAGACTAATTGTATTTGTTCTATTTATGACAACAGATTTTCAAGTGTTTGGGGAGCAGTAGCTGTGATTTTTGTGAAGGAAGTGACTGGAAATTGCATAGCTGTACTATTAATTGGAGCTATTTTGACTGATCAGGTGGTGTGGGTTACACAGTTGAAACTAATTACATAAACGATAAACTGCTTGCAATCCTTAGAATACAGATGTGAATCACGCATGGGAGTAGAGAAATTTTTTTTTTTTTTTTGGGCCTCATAAGTACTTAGTGTTAATTGATGAATTTTGTATAACATTATTTATGTGTTTTCGTTATTCTTATTTTAGTATTCTACATAACACACCATCAACCAAAATTCAGAGAAATTAGTATTGCATCATTCACGTACGTCAAAAATAGTGAAAACATTTCATGTTTCAAGAGGCAGAAGCTGTTTTCCTGGGTGAGTCTCTGATGAGAAAAGCTACCAAATCAAATGTACAATTAATGTCATAAATTATATATAATGGTATGCATTTAGTTAATCTTTTGCTTTTATGGTACGAAGAATTCTAGACGTTTCACAACATAGAATTTAGTGGGTTCCCGCACGCGATCATTAAGCTTTCTAGGGACTAAAGTTTGGTTTACTAATTTATATGCTTATTGCCCAAAATTTTGGTGCCAAGCTTTCAGGTATATTGCAACAGATGACCTTAATTAATTGTACATTATGCTTTTATTTGCTGCAGTGGAAATGGGAAATTGTGATTGGACCCGTGTGGGATATGATAAAACTGATGTGGGCTCCTGTTGGTCGCCGGATACAGCTCGCCAGAAGACTAGGTGAGAAGATGGAAAAACTTGACAGCAGAAGCTCGACATTTATCAAACCAGAAGAAAAGACATAGAAAGGGAACTCTCAAGCGATGTTCATAAAGTGCCTAATGAAGTATGTAAAGGTTGGATTGATGATGTGGAAAAGATTGAACAACGTAGAAGTGAGATTAAAGATGAGTATGCACTAAAATAAGAAATGTCTGTTGGGTTTGTTTCCTGATATAAAATGGCGTATGAGTTTAGCGAAGTGTATTGAGGAAGTAGATGTTCGTATTGGTGAGCTCAAAGAGATGTCAAAGTTTGAAGGAGGCATTGTTCTTGATCTGCACCGCCACCTGCTGCTGAGTTTTTGCAGCTGCCGAGGACAGATGGAGCCTGCACCAATTAACCGTACTTTGCAGAAGGTATTGGCACACATAAGAAGTGAAAAGATCCATCAGATAGGAATTTGGGGAATGGGTGGTGTCGGGAAGACAACTGTAGTGAAAGCTTTGAATAACTTACCGGAGATCTCAATAACTTTTGAAATTGTCATATGGGTTACCGTCTCAAGTCAGGGGAGTATTGATAAGATTCAAAAGGATGTTGCAAGGCGTTTGTCAAGTGATGTAAACGATGCAGATCCCATTCACACAGTTGCAAATAAAATCTATCAAATTCTGAGTTCCAACAAGTTCTTGTTGCTGCTGGATGATGTATGGAGAAGCTTAGATTTGGGCGATATCGGCATCCCTAATCTTAACGAGCAAGAAAAAGGTAGTAAGGTTGTGTTGACAACTAGAGACCAAACGGTGTGCAACGATATGGACATAGATGAGATTGTAAAAGTGGATCGTTTGTCTGAGGAAGAAGCATGGAATTTGTTTGCCCACAAGGCTGGCGATATTGTGAATGATAGGAGCATCAGTCCATATGCTAAGGCTGTAGTTGAGCAATGCGGTGGTCTGCCACTTGCAATAATTGTTTTGGGAGCAGCTTTGAGAAATACCGATGATGTCCATGTGTGGTGCAATAAATTGAGAGAACTCCGATCTTCCACATCCTCTTCTATAGGAAGCATGCAAGATCGTGTCTTTAAGCCACTGAGATTCAGTTATGATCAACTGGGAGATGATAACATCAAGCAATGCTTTTTATATTGTGCGCTGTATCCTGAAGATGAAGAGATAGAAGTCGATGAATTGATAGAGTATTGGAGAGCAGAGGGGCTGACTGGTGATGCAAAATCTATAATCGATGGCTATAATAAAGGTCGTGACCTATTCAATACTCTTGTTCAAAAATCTTTGTTGGAGATGGTTGGATACTCTCGTTGTAGGATGCATGATTTGTTACGGGATCTAGCATTAATTATCACATCGCCAAGAGGAAATAACGACAGTAAGTTTTTGGTAAGAGCTGGTTTGAGAGATGGATCGCATGGAAATGAGGAGGAATGGAAGCAAATGAAACGCATTTCATTCATGAAAAGCACATTGGGCACTTTACCCGAGTCTCCGGATTGTCCTATTCTCTCAACATTGTTTCTCCAATATAGTTTGCCGCTACAGACGATTCCGAACAAATTCTTTCAGCACTTGGTAGAACTTCAAGTTTTAGACCTATCGTACACCAGAATCAGATCACTACCATCATCTATTAGCAGTTTGGTGAATCTTCAAGGGCTATATTTGAATTATTGTGAGGTCTCTTGCAGAGCTTCCATCTGAAGTGGGATCTCTAAAGAAGCTCCAAGAACTTCAAATGGCTGAAGTTGCGGTCCAGAGCTTACCATTTGAGATCATGAATTTGAATCGTCTTATTAGTTTTATATTTTCAAGTGCTTTACCACGTTAGCACGACAGTGGATATTCCTGCTGGGGTGATAAAAAGTCTCATCTCATTGGAGCTACTGCAAATTGGTGTGAAGTTGTTGCAGTCTGCGCACGTTGCTATGCTGGACGAGGTGGCTTGTTTGAGAAATTTGACTAAAATTCATCTCTCTTTTCCAAACGTTGAAAACCTTGAGCGTTTCCTCTCAACAAGTTGGTCATGGAAAGAACAAAGGTTCTTGAACTTCCGATTTTTTGTCAATAATAATTGGGATCCCTCAGTATATCCGCAGCCGGAGTTGAGCCATGGAGCTTTGATATTATACGATTGCCAGGATTCTCCTACTACCCCGATCCCTCCTACAATAACTGAGAGTACTTAGCCGTTCCCAAAAGTTTATGGTGTCATCTCGTGGTATCAAAACACTGTCTGAATTTGGCATGCAAAACCTTAAAGGTCTCAGAATTTGTTCAGTGTTGAGCTGTAATGACATTGAGATTCTTGCAAATGGGGATGAGTCAGAAGGAGGCGAGATTTTTGCTGATTTGGAGAATTTGGAGTTGAGTCTGTTTGCCGAAATTGAGAGCAATACTGGAAGGGCAACCGTCAATAAGAAGCTTCTCAAATCTCAATTATTTGAGATTGGACAGCATGTCATCGCATAAAACACATTTTCTCCTGGAACATGATCAAGCAACTGTCTAAATTGGAGAGCCTTTCCATCAGTTACTGCGATCGGCTTGAAGATATTTTTGAAGAGAATGAGTTTGAACCTGAGATGATCAGAAGTGATGGACATCAGCTCCCAAGGTTGAAGATCTTACGCCTTCAGTGGTCTCCCCAAACTCGTCAGTATTGATAGGATTGTGTCATTGGCTACCGTCTCAATAGAGGAAATCTGGATTCATAAATGCATTAATGTAAAATCTCTTCCAAGTAGCCTGGTCGATGCACCAAAATTAAGGAAGATTGCAGGTAGACAACCGAAAATGGTGGGATGAAGAACTCGAGTGGGAAGATAATGCAATCAAGCAGCGACAACAACTTCTTTTCTCAGTTCAGTAGATAAGCTATATGACCTTTTCTAGTCAGGGGTTATTTTAAGAATTCCGAATGCACTGTACTTCTCATTGTGCAATGAATGATTTTCTTGCTGGTTTGTTCTTTCAGTTTCATCCATTGTGGCAATGTGTATTCTTATGGATTTGTAGCAAAGATTATCTTCTGATTGATGAATGATGGATTTCTGAAAGCTGGACTTTGTATAGGGCAAATTAAGATTTCCAGTGAGTCCTGAAAGTAGAATGTACCATTTCTACTCCCTCTTCATTTCCTTACATTTCTTAAATGGATAAAAGCTTTTAAGATCTCTCTGCTTTTTGATTTTTTAATTTGTTTCAATGTCTTACATCTATTTTTAAGATCTCTCTGTTTCTTTCTGCAGTGACCCTTAATTTCATTTTTTTTTATTGAAGTCCTACAGCCTTTTTTGATTTTATACTTTAGCCCTAGCATGTTAGTGCTAGTGGGACTGATTATAATTAAATTAAATTGCCTTGTTGGAACGTTTGTGACTTATTTATACTTTATGATCTCGGCTTTGTAGGGCTCGCATGTTGTCATAGAATAACCATGATGACCAATCTACACTAGTACAGTGATTTGGGCTTTAAAGTTTGAATATTGGGCTGGGTTGTTCAGGAGTAATTATTAGTAATTACTCGATAAAATAAAAAATTAAAAAACTTTACTATTAGACAAAAAAATTTAGAATGAATAATAAAAAAAAAATAATTAACTATTCGTTTATAATGTAAAATTGAAACTTGTTTTCGTTTGATCAATAAAACTTTAATATTAGATTTCAAATATATGATTCAGCGTCACTGCCTCCTTGCCATTCTTCCATGTACTGCCTCCGTGTTTCTCAGCCGTTCATCTCTGCCCTCTACAATTATAATTTCTTTTCTTTTTTTCCAATCTCCCTTCCTTCGTCTGTTTAATGTTCTTTTTCCTCCCAGCCAATGCCCTTCAATTGCAAATTTAATTGCCTTCTTGCCATTACATGGCGGTGTGGGCTTACGGTTTTGCCCCCGTTTCAGAGTCCTCATTCATTTCTCTTTGGTTTGTATTTTTTTCTCCTCAGCCAACCCTTTAATTTTATATTTAATTGTTGTTTTGCCATTGGTTGGTGGTGTGGGCTTACGGTTATGCCCCTGTGTCAGCATAACACTCTTTGAAAAGCAATGCGAAGGAAGGGAATAAAACCCCATTTTCAGCATGCTCATTCATTTCTCATCCCCTCATGGATTGCAAGAGACCACTGACTTTGTTTCTCATCCCGATCCTCCGTTCTTTTCCTCCTCTTTTGGTGGGCTTCTGTTGGTTGCAGAAGAAGCAAAAGTAAAGCAAGAAGATCGATGGCAATTGCTTTCTCTCTCACCCATCTTCCCAACAGTGGATGAAACCTCTCAAAGGTTGGTTTTTGCTTCGCGAGTTCCAAACACGGACATGTTATCTTCGCTATCAATACCTCTGTAAACCAATTCTCTTAATTATTTATCTAGGTCTATTAGATTGACTTGATCATTCATGTGTGTGTGTCATTAGATTGACTTGATCACTCTTTCTCAATAACAAAAATAAATAGTTGCACTCTTCTTAAATCTCAACCCCCACCAACTCCTCGCCAAAAAGTCAGCCCAAAAAAAAAAAAAAAAGAACGAAAAAAACTACCATCAATTCCTGGTCAAAAAGTCAGGGGACAAAAAGCTCCCACCAACTCAATTTTATGTGGACCCAGGATTGATTACCTCGGCGGCAGTCTCATCCAGGATCAACATTGGGCCCAAAAACATATCAGATTTATCCTTGGCATACGAACATGATATTCCACTTTACCAAACTAGCTACTAGCATCACACACACACATATATAGTAGTTTTATTTCAACAATTAATTATTTAATATTTTTCAAATCGTTGGAATATCACCTACATGACCACGCACACCGTATGATGCTTAGACATAGTAGTTTTATTTCTTTCTTTGTTCATCCTGGATTTCAAGAAGGTTTATGGTTGGTTTAAAACTCAATTTCTATTACTTGATCAGTGGAGAATCTAGGGTTTCATTTTTCATTCTCTAGGAGGTTAGCTGGAGGGACATTTTCCATCCTCATCTCCCCTTTTTTCGTCCTCTTTGGCTTGCCTTCTGTTGGTTACAGAAGAGGAAAAAGAAAAGCAAAAAGAGATGGCCAGCTCAGAAGGAGAGAATATGCTGATTATAGAAAAGGGCAAAAAAAAAGAAAAAAAAAAAGAAAAGCAAAAAGAGACTAATAAGTGAAAAAACGAAAGAAACAAATTGAAATTTTGACTACTAGTGATTGGATAATAAATTAAAATGGTTCGTGCGAAAGAAACAAAACACTGTCTGAATTTGGCATGCAAAACCTTAAAGGTCTCAGAATTTGTTCAGTGTTGTAGCTGTGATGACATTGAGATTCTTGCAAATGGGGATGAGTCAGAAGAAGGCGACATTTTACCTGATTTGGAGGTTTTGGAGTTGAGCCTGTTTGCCGAAATTGAGAGCAATACTGGAAGGGCAACCGTCAATAAGAAGCTTCTCAAATCTCAATTATTTGAGATTGGAAGAATGTCATCACATAAAACACATTTTCTCCTGGGACATGATCAAGCAACTGTCTAAATTGGAGAGCCTTTCCATCAGTTACTGCGATCGGCTTGAAGATATTTTTGAAGAGAATGAGATTGAACCTGAGATGATCAGAAGTGATGGTCATCAGCTCCCAAGGTTGAAGATCTTACAACTTCGATGCTCTCCCCAAACTAGTCAGTATTGATAGGATTGTATCATTGGCTTCAGTCTCAATAGAGGAAATCTGGATTCACAAATGCATTAATGTAAAATCTATTCCAAGTAGCCTGGTCGATGCACCAAAATTAAGGAAGATTGTAGGTAGCAACCGAAAATGGTGGGATGAAGAACTCGAGTGGGAAGATAATGCAATCAAGCAGCGCCTACAACTGTTTTTTGTCGTTGGGATGTTTCGTAATTTTTTGTTATGAAAATGCTTACGATTGTTCTTCAGTATCTTTTTTTATTTTCTCTTATCATTGTTTATTTGTCAGTGTTTTTGTGGGACCTAAGAGGCATGCTGGTTCTTGTGGCGAGGACTGTTGTGTTACTTTAAGAAATTCGGAATGCACTGTACTTCTCATTGTGCAATGAATGATTTTCTTGCTGGTTTGTTCTTTCAGATTCATCCATTGTGGGAATGTGTTTTTATGGATTTGTAGCAAAGATTATCTTCTGATTGATGAATGTTGTATTTCTGAAAGCTGGAGTTTGTATAGGGCAAAGATTTCCAGTGAGCCCGGAAAGTAGGTTGTACTATTTCTTCTCATATGGTTTCCCCTTCTTATTTAAGTGTAATTTCCAAGAAGCTGAACCAACCTGCAACCTCATTTTCTTTCGGCTTTAATTGAATGGATGCAATAACATGCCATAAGTGTTCTTCTGTAGCTGCAATCTACCCTCTATGAAATAATGCAATTCATGAACTGCTGGTTCAACTTGTAGCAGAGGAAGTCGTCGACAGGTTTCTTGAACCAAATTAAAACACAAAGTGAAAAAATCAAGCTCTTGTTGCTGAACTTGGTTAGTTTCTCCACCCTGTTTAAATTCTTCGCATATAAGTTTGAGTTCGTCCATTTCATGTTCTAGTCTTCCAATTTGTGGCATATTTGTGGTTACATCCTCGTGAAGATAGTATGTACTAAGGCCGATCATTGCCCAGCTTTCAGAAATCTTAATAACACTTTCCATGAAGTTGAACAATCCTGCAACCTCTTAGTTACTCAAAAGAATTCTTTCCCCGTACAAAGTAAAAACGTTTTCAAATTTAGAATGTTAGAAACTCACAAGAATTCAGCAAATGTCTTCTAATTCTTATAAGGTAACAATAGGAAAACAGGAGGAACACAAGATGCTAGGAATCAATAACAAAACCATATTGGCATCAAATCAGTCTGAACCTGAACTAAGATTCATTTATAATTGGACTAACATCCGTTTAAGGGCTTTCCATGTTCATTTCTTTTTGTGGTGTCAAGGCCCATATTAATTTCTTGTTGGATCTTTATTGTACATGGTTCTTTTCTTTTCTGTGAAATCTTGTATATTTTTTATATAATACCTGTTATTCATCAGTCATCAATTTTTTGAAAAAATTGGAAATGTGGAACAATTCGACCCTTTTTTTTTACTGTTTGGATATATATATATTTTCAATTTATTTATTACTTAAATTCCAATTTTCAAGCATTCTAAGGGGACCTTCTAAATACTTCTGTTCCAAAATTTTTGGGTAATAAAAATTTTCTACTCACTCACAAATTACATTTTGTTCCAAAATTTTTTAAGCTTATGTAAGACAAAAATTAAAATTAACCCTTCATCTTTGTTATAGTAGTCAGATTAATCCTCTGTCCACATATATTAAGCTTAGCTTCTCATCTCCTTTAACACTAACCACTAATCATATCTACAACGAAAAAGAGAGTTTTTTTTTTTTTTTTTTTTTTTGGGGGGGGGGGGGGGGGCGGCGGCTAGAGTGGTCCTTTTTGGCTTTACATTATGTGGCATGGTTGAGTGAGCCTAATTAATGTTTTTCTTTTCTTTTTTTTTCTCATAGGCTTAAAGAATTTTGGGCTTCTCTTTTTTTGGGCTTCTCTTTTGCTTAGACCCAAACTTTATATATATATATACACACACATATATGAGTACGTACCTTACTCTTAGTATATTTAAAATCTACTTATACATATTGGACGATGAGAAAATGATGTTATTAGTGTTTTTGGTGTTTCAAGTAGCATATGCCTTAGTTTGTTTGTGACCGTGAGAATGTTATAAGGAATAAGGGAGTTTGTAGTTTCTTTTGTACTTAGATTATCTTAATTGATTATAAATTATGCTTTTATTTGCTGCAGAGTGGAAATGAAAATTTTGATTGGCCCGATGTGGGATATAATAAAACGATTTGGGTTCCTATTGGTAGCGGATACAATATGCCGGAAGATTAGGTAAGAAGATCGAAAAACTTGACGAGAGATGCTCAAAATCTATTTAACGAAGAAAAGACATAGTAAAAGAGCTCTCAAACAACGTTGGTAAAGTGCCTACTCGAAGTATCAAAGGTTGGCTTGATGTTGTGGACAAGGTCGAACATCGGAGAAATGGGATTAAAGCCGAGTATGCACTAAATAAGAAATGTTTATGGGGTTTGTTTCTATTGGGTTTCCCTCCTAGTTGAAGGTCGGCTCGAGGTTGAGCTACACGAGCCCAAATCTTGGAGCCTATGTGAAGGAGTAATTTTTAATCACTTGAAGGATAATTTTGATATTTTCAAATAAACCCTCTCTTCTCTTTTATTTTGAAATCAGATTAGGAAAGAAGGTAAAGAGAAAAAGAAAAGAAAAAGAGTGAGAGCTGCAACTTTTGAGAAAAAGAGCGAGGGAAGAAAGTTTCAGTACGAGACTAATCATGTTAAAATTGAGTTTTTGAGTTTGTTAACCGTTGGATTGAGCTCAAATTTGATGGACACGTTCAAGAGAGAAAGAATCACATTATGAACGGTGAAGATCTAGTTTTGATTCATAGAGAGTGAGATAAGATACTCGTAATAGTGTTATTTTTCGGTAAAATCTGAACTTTGTTTTTTCTCTTTTCTTTGTGTATCATCTATTGATGTGGTTTGCTAAGGGCGTATAACCTTTGATTTTTGTAACTGATTACTCATCTAGTTTAATCTAGAGAGGATCCCTTGTACCCATTATTATTGATGGTGGAAGTTATGGTGGACTCCGATACTTGTGGTTTTTCCTTCTCAAATTGAAGAGGTTTTCCACGTAAATCTTTGTATGATTAGTATTTTATTTTCAGATTATTAGTTACTTATTTTGGCTTGGGTATTTGGTTGTAGCTTGTGTTTAATTGTTCAAGCAAGGGTAAAGAGGTTCCTTTGTGTTATTTGTGTTTCCTTGCCCAACAAGTGATATCGAGTTCGGTTGCTTATTTTCAGCTTGAACAACATGGAGAGTAACATTAAAATGATAAGTCTAAATGGAACCAATTATCACATGTGGAAGAGAAAAATAAAAGATCTCTTATATGTAAAAAGTTGGCATCTACTCGTATTTGTTTCGGATAAACCTAAAACAAAAATAGATGAGGATTAAAAGTTTGAGAATGAACAAGTTTGTGTTTTTATTCATCAATACATTGATGATAATGTTTCTAATCATGTTGTAGAAGGGGTGAATGCTAAAACTTTGTGAAAAAGTTTAGAAGATCTCTTTTTCAAAGAAATAAGGAATAAAAAGATGTACTTTATTAAGATGAATTGTAAGCATAAGAAAAGAACTTCGATAGCCGATCACATTAATGAGTATGTGGGAATTATTCAACAAATGAATTCCATGAAAATAGAAATTGATGATAAGGTTGTATTTGCTTGGCTTATTATCGGATTCTTGGGAGACATTCCGTATATCACACTCGTAATTCGCTCCGATGGGAAGATGACCTTGACTCGTGCTAGAAAAAGGGTTCTCAATGAAAAGATCGGAAGGAAGACTCAAAATTCTTCTTCTCGATCTTATGTGCTAGTTACTTGTAGAAAGGGGGATGAGTGAAAGTAAGGGTCCAAAAGGAAGAGGCAAGAGCAAAATCAAGTCCGGGGGAAGTTTGTGAATGTGGAGTGTTACCATTGTGGTGATATAGGTCACATCAAGAAATATTATTGAAAATTAAAGAAAGACAACAACAAGAACAAAACCAAGCGAGAATGATAATGATGCCGATGAAGACCGAGTTAATGCAACTTATGAGTTCTTGATTGCATATGATATTGATGAAGTTAACATAGTATCGAGTGAGCATAGTTGGGTGGTTGACGGTGGAGCTTCGGTACATGCTACTTCTCACATGGAGTTTTTTAGCTCATACATGCCTAGTGGTTTTGGAGCGATAACGGTTGGCAATAATGGATTGTCCAAAATTACTAACATTGAAGATGTGTGCTTAGAGACTCATACCGAAGTAAAACTAGTTCTGAAAAATGTGAAGCATGTTCGACTTTCACTTGAATTTAATCTCGGTTGGAAGACTTGATGATGAAGGGTTTTGTAACACATTAAAAAATGGTATGTGGGAGCTATCCAAGAGTTCTATGTAATGGCAAAAGGATAAAATTGTTCCTCTTTATATGTCATGCATGCTAAATTATTGAATGATGATGTGAATGTTGTTAGAGGTGAGGAAGCTACTAACTATGGCATAAGAGATTGGCTCATGTCGCTACCCGACTTCGAACGGGACTCCTAAAAAAATTATAGATTTTGAAATGTTTGCAAAGATGTGCATCTTATTTACAAGGACTTCGGATATGCAAGTTATTATTGTGTTTAGAGTTGCCACCTAGTATTAGAGGAACTAGGAATCTAAAATAGCACCGGTATAGAGATTCTAGGATAAGGAATTGGTTATGTTTTAGGAAGACAACGATCACCTAAAAACGCCCTTTCATAAGAAAGGTACCATGTCTAGTTTAGTCTTAAATTCATCTCCCTAAATCTTTTATTTGTGCCAAGTTATTTACGATTTAAACGCAAACTTTTCGAGCCAATTTAAAGATAGGTGACTTATTATTTGATGGAGAATTGTCATTAGTCCCTAAAAATTTAGGAGACTCGACAATTTGCCTATTAAACTAATTTTTGAAACAAAATTCTAAAATTTAAAATCAACTAATGGTAACCCATTTTTTTATCATTTTATTTTATTTTATTTTCGTCGATGGAAAAGCTGTCATTAGTCCCTAAAATAGGAGACTTAACGGTTATCCACCTATTATTAAAGAGTCTAATTACTAAATAAATAAATTAAAGCTACACTAATTAAGTAAATTAAAGAAAATTTGAATACCGAAATTTAAATTAGCACCAAAACATGTGTAAGATAAATTAAGTCCAAATTGCATAAAAAATAAAATAAATAAAAATAAGCATCAAAATTAAATATTAAATGATAAATTTGCATAGGATCAAGTTGAAAAATTAAAAATGAGACATACAATTTTTTTTCATTTTTACTCCTCTTTTTTTTATCCTCATTTTTTTCTTTTTCCCCTTTTTTTTTTTGGCAGGAGTTGGACTAAAACCAGCTCCTTCTTGCTTAGCTAAGATTTTTTTATTATTTTCTTTGCTACTTTCTCTCTTCCCTATCCTTATTTCTTTTTTTTTCTCTATTTTTTATTACTTTTTCTTTTTCTTTTTCTTTCTTTCTTTTTTTTTCTTTTGGAGAGGGTAGACTTCCAGCCTCTC